TGAATAAACATTCTTTAAATACCTCTTGACTTCAACCCACTTGAATTTTGCTTTTGGATTTTTTTTTCACTTGGGTTGGTTACTTCCAATTTGGCTTTGAATATCTGATGCCCACTTTTTTAACTTGTCTGTGGCAAAAGTTTATCTGTGCTGACTTAATTGACTTTTGCTGCTTTCCCCTTGGATTCTGACTGCAGCTATGTTTTCCCTCCCAGGTAAGTCCATTTTGGCTCAGGTTCTGTTCTTCAGTATGTCCACTTAATTCTGGACTCAACTTTCTCACTCTGACCATTTCAGCCAACACACTCCTAGAATATGTTATCTTGCAAAAGAAAATGGTAAATAAGCCTCAAAAGCATAAATATGCACTGTTATTTTGAAAATTATTTTATCTTTAATTGATAAATAGTAATTATATATATTTAGGAGATACAAGGTGATGTTATTTATATATATATTATATATGTATACATACACATTGTGGAATGATTAAATCAAGCTAATTAACATATCCATTATTTCACAAACATATTTCTTTGTAGTGGAAACATTTAAAATCTATTCTTTTAGTATTTTGAAATATACATTATTATTTAACTATCACCACCATGATGTGCAATGGATTACTTATGCTTATGCCTCCTCTCTAACTGAAACTTTGCACACTTTCACCAACATCTTTTCCTTTCTTCATTCACTCTTGTATCATGTTTTTGAGATGGAGTCTCACTCTGTTTCCCAAGCTGGAGTGCAGTGGTGCAATCTAGGCTCACTGCCACCTCCATCTCCCTGGTTCAAGCTATTCTCCTGCCTCAGCCTCTCAAGTAGCTAGGTTTACAGGCATGCACCGTCATGCCTGCCTAATTTTTGTATTTTTAGTAGAGACGGGATTTCACCACATTGGCCAGGCTGGTCTCAAATGCCTGACCTCAGGTGACCCGCCTGCCTCAGCCTCCCAAGGTGCTGAGGTTTCCCCAGCCTCTGGAAAGCACCATTCTGCTCTCTACCTCTAAGAATTTATCTTTCTTAGATTTCACATATATATGAGATCATGCAGTATTTGTCTTTCAATGCCTGGAATATTTCACTTGGCATTATGTCCTCCAGGTTTATTCATGTTGTCACAAATGATGTGTATCCAAAAGAATTGAAATTAGTTTGTCAGAGAGATATCTGCTCTCTCATATTCGCTGCAGTATTATTTACAATAGCCAAGATATGGAAGAAACCTAAGTATCTGTCACATATGAATAGATAAAGAAAATGTGGTGTATATATACACAACAGAATGCTCTTCAGACTTTTAAAAAAGGACACCATCATTTGCATTGCCATTTTGTTTGGATTATAATTCTTAAAAATTTTTGAACCAGGCATTTCTCTGAATTAAAAAAAAATCTAGAACTGTCACATTTACTGAAACCCTGGAAGCTTCTTAGAAGTAGCTATTTATCTCTGCTTCTGATAACTCTGAAAATGTCTGTTTTTCCAGGGTTCTAACCCACCCTCCCCAAAACCCTCCCCAAAGCTCCTTTAGCCTTTCAAATGCAGAACCAAACATATAGATATCCATCCCGTTCTCAAATTGGAGAGACTAGAGAAGTGCCTTGAAGCGTATTACGATTTAGTTTTTGTCTCACTCTGAGTTGGGCAACAATGTCCAACATAGACGCCCAGAGCCAGAGAAAGAGAGTAGATGTGGGAAAGAGCCTGTAATCAAGTGCTTAGACCATGCGGCCTCTAGGAGAACTCAGAGAGTGAGCAGCTGGTGGACTGGAAGCCTCACCTTAGGATTTAAAGTAGAAAAGACAGACTGTTCTACTCAACACAATATATTCACCCAGGGTCTATGGTGCCCAAATCAGCATCACCCTCATTCTAGTTTAAAACAAAACGTTCTGTCATAATATCAGACCTTTCGAATCAGAATTTCCATGAGTGGAGGCCCCAGCTTCTGCATTTTCTTTTTTCTTTTTCTTTTTCTTTTTTTTTTTTTTTTTTTTTTGAGACGGAGTTTCACTCTTGTTACCCAGGCTGGAGTGCAATGGCACGATCTCGGCTCACCGCAACCCCCACCTCCTGGGTTCAAGCAATTCTCCTGCCTCAGCCTCCCAAGTAGCTGGGACTACAGGCATGCGCCACCATGCCCAGCTAATTTTTGTATTTTTAGTGGAGACGGGGTTTCACCATGTTGACCAGGATGGTCTCGATCTCTTGACCTCATGATCCACCCCCCTCGCCTTCCCAAAGTGCTGGGATTACAGGCTTTAGCCACCGCACCCGGCCACTTCAGCATTTTCATCAAGCTCACTGATGCCTATGCAGTCAGTGTGGCACCTGACTCAAACTATCATCAGAACCACCAACTGAGCTAGTTATCCTTAGCCAACACCAGGCCGAATCAATCCAATTATAATTACTGCAGAGACAACAGGGATACCTGTTTGCTAGGGATTCCAGGATGCAATATGAGAAGATGGAGCCTCATTTATAATAAGCAGTAATTGAACAAATGTATGTAAATCATAATCTTAGCTGAGTCAAGAGATAGGCACCAATTGAAAAACATCCCCTGAAGCCTTCAGATGAAATCTTATCTTTAACCTCAAAGGTTCCCTCTTTTCAATGTTGCTGCAATGAAACCTCAATTGTTTGGTTGGTTAGTCCTCACCAATAGAAGAGAAGGAACCAATGCAGGAGAAGAAAAGTGAGATCTGTTTGTACAAGATTTTCTCATGTGATAACGGGTGCATTGATAGCTGGGGTGGGGGTGAGGGTGGGCAAAGGTTGTAGATGTTCTTCTCTCACTGACAAATACTGGTAATGGTTAGTGGAAGTAATTGGATCAGACTCCCAGAAATCAAGACTGTCCCTTTTACTCCAATGTCTCCATTATAAGCTTTCAGGAGGGAGCCTAAGGTGATAGATGGTGAATACCACAGTTGTGATGCATCTCTCAGCCCAATGAGATCTAGGGTGGGAGTGTATTCAGATTCTTCTTCCCTGAGAAAGGGATTGGGGAAAATACTGTTATTTTTATTTCTAGTATGCTTTGGGCAGGTATTTATCCTACTCTCGGAAAATCAGTGAGAGTGTATATCCCCTACCACACCCTCTACCACTGAATACTATGGAGACATAATGTCCAGTTGTGAAGTGCTTGACTCTGGCTTCAGTTCTCCAATGGAGACTGACATGCAGCAGAAGGACCAAGGGTCATGTGCCATCTGGGATCTGTTGACCCCTTTCCTAAGCCCATGTTCAGATTGAGGTCTTTCTTCTATTACTTTAAACATATCCATGGGAAAGAAGGGACTCACAGTACCTAACCCCCAGGTGTAAGACTTTAATGGATCTCTGCTGTCAAGAGTAAAGCATTTATGCCTAAACTTTGATTTCCTCTATGTTAAGTAATGGACCAAATACATTCAGCAACATCCAATATGTGTGATGGCTTCATCTCCAGGAAACAGGACTACACATCTAAAATGAAATTTAAAACTAAAAACAGAAAGCAGGTAAAGCATATTTGAAGAATATGACAAGGTGTTTAAATATTCATAGCTAGCCAAAGCACACACTTTTCACTTTTTTGAGGATGGAGGCTTTCCGATTAGAATATGTTTTAAACAGCAAAGGTGACAAGAAATGGATTTGATTTCACTTCCTCTAGTGCATTCTAGAGATGTATGTCAAAGCCCTCCATATGTTTATATTCAACCAGACTTAGAAGGAAAACCAGAATAGTGAAGTAGATAAAAACACAGAATAATTCCTTATGTAATCAACAGTTACACATATTACTTTCACAAACCTTCATATCATTTCTGTTCATTAGTTTTTATCAGGAATTTTTGGAGTGTCATTTATAAATAAAGAAGATAAAGCTTACTCAAGTTAAATAACAGGCTTAATTTGTACAAAAATTGAAATTAAGTTTTATGGCTCTAAATCCCCAAGATTTCTTCATTGGACTTCCCGCTCAATCACTGATTTGGCAGGTAGCCTCAGCAAATTATTCCTTATAGGTCTTACTTGTAAAACAGCAGCTGGATTATAGCATCTTTAATTAACACTAGTCATAGCAGGTATGGTGCCCAGGATTGTGTTTATTACAGGACCCAGTTTCCTTCTACTTTGCCATAAACTGCTCTCCTGAATGAAGAAGTATCTTCATTTAGAGAGCAGTTTATGGCAAAGTAGAAGGAAACTTTACCATGGGGGGAAGTATCCTCAAGAAACGCCATCTAAACTCTTTCCCATTTCAAGATATTTTTCAGTCCAATATCCAAACTGGAACTCATCATTTTCATTAATGAAAGGGGCCCACTGATGCGTCATTCCACATGGGTTTATCATTTGTCTTGTTTTGACCAGTGTCCTAAGTTTTGAAGGTAATACAATCACATTATCACTTCTAAAGGCAAACCTCCAGAAGGTAGGCATTTTACAGAACTAAACAATGCAACAACAACAAAAACTCTGTTGATCTAGTCAATACCAAAATGCCCAGCTGACTGAACTGAGCACACCACTTCCAATCATATCAATTTCTCTACATTTATACTGACTATTCCTCTGTGAAAATCAATCTTGAAATCTCTGTTATTTAGAATAAGAGGCAGGATTCCTAGAGGTGTACACCAATCTGCATAACCTCTCCTCCATTTTATACTGTCACAATATCGTGTAATATAAGTCACTGTCATATAGGGTTACTAGAATTTTACACCAACAGAGAATGTTGGTTTCAGAAGCTTACCTGATGGAATCAGAAAACTAATCGCACATGCAAACGCCCACAGACCACGGCTGCTGTTTAAGAATACTCTTGAAGTAACTCTATTAATGCACGTTCAAAATTTTAAATCTCCATCCTCCTGCTGGGTACCCTAAGGGTGTGTATGGGGTGGGGCAGGTAGGAGTGGGTGGGATACGCTGGCGGCAGATAGTGACTATCATTCTGGGACTGGACACAACAGTAAGAAAAAGGCACTTACTTGCTACGAAGTGACTCGTCTCCACCAGCACCTGAGGGAACCCTCAGGAGCAGGGCTCCCTGGGGCCCTTTCCTCCTCCTGAGCTTCTCTTTCTCCACGGATCTCTCGGGTTTTCTGAGCTCTAGTTGTACAGAAGGTGTTAGACTGGCGTCTACCCTCATCAGCTGTGGCTCTGCAGTAAATGGGCCCCACTCAATTGGCAGTTAGACACCGACTCACTGGGGCGGCTCTCCAGCCGCTGACCCAGAGACCCCTCCTGCCCAGATGTCCAGTGTAGCCGCGCCCGCTGCTTGGAAGCTGTTTTTGTCTCCTTTCCACTCCTCCCTCCCCTCTTCCAGCCACTCCACTCTCTCCCCCGCCCTCATCTCCAGGCCAGTGCGCGACTTCAGCATCCAGATCGGGCGTGGGCGGGTGATATTGACAGAGACCTGCTGCAGAGGCAGTTAACAGCAGCAGCTGTGGCGTCTCCACCAGCAGCTGCCGAGGAAGGGAGGAAGGGAGGGAGGAAGAGGAGCACGGGTTGGTGAGGAGGGGAAGAGAGGAGAGGGCCTCGAGGGCCTGAAGGAACGAACCGGCTAGGGAGCAGCCGGGAGGGAGAGGAAAAAGAAGAGCATGGTGCAGCTAAATTGGGGGGGGGGGGAGGGGAGAGTGAAAATGAGGAAGGGGAGAGTGAAAATGAGGAAGAGGAGAGGAAGGCAGCAAACTCTGGTTCTTTAACCTCCAGCTGTATTCTCTCTCCCCTTGCCTAGGTGCCTCAGCAGAACTTGCAGGGGGAATTGTCAGCCTGCAGCATCCAAATCTGGACATTGCTGTAGTTAAAAGTTTGTAATGTTGTTGTGTGAGCAGCTGTGTAGTTGTTTTTAGGAAAGAATCAAGAGTCCACTAGGGAGGCTATGACCCCTTGCCTAGGTGCCTCAGCAGGACTTGCAGGGGGAATTGTCAGCCTGCAGCATCCAAATCTGGACATTGCTGTAGTTAAGAGTTTGTAATGTTGTTGTGTGAGCAACTGTGTAGTTGTTTTTAGGAAAGAATCAAGAGTCCACTAGGGCGGCTATGAACCTTTTTACTCTGGATCACTTTCCCACTCTAGTGATTTGAAACACGAGGGACAGAGGGAAAATTATGTCTATTTCAGAAAACCGCGGCGACACAGTGTAATTTGGGAGTGAAGGCAAGAAGTGTCATACTTCTTCCCAAAGGCCACGCCAAAGAACCTTCATTTTGTAACCCTATTTTGTGTACACATCACATCACTTCAAAAACATATTAGCATATGTCTCTGAATGGTAAGAACTTTTTTGTTTGTTTTTCATTTTTTATTATACTTTAAGTTCTGAGGTACATGTGCAGAACATGCAGGTTTTTTATATAAGTATACAAGTGCCACGGTGGTTTGCTGCATCCATTCCGACATCATCTACATTCGGTTTTAATTCAACACCCTGGTCACATGTAAAAATTAACAATAATTATTTTGTAGCACCAAACATCCACTTGATTTCTTTTTAATGGACTATTTACTAACTGCAAGCTTCTCTTCTCCACACTCTGGTGATGATGCAAATAAATTTTCTAGTGCATAAACCTTTCCCTTAGAGCCGTCTGACACAGGTATCGCTTTTCACCCAGTAAAATTCTACACACCTTTGAGTACATTCAAACACAATATAAATTTAATAAACTCAATAATATCAAATATATTAAACTTAAAATATGATATTTTGAATGAATAAAAAGAGTACTGCTTTTTATAATGTGTAATGAACAGGAAGTTGATCCCAAGATACTGTACAAACTACTCATATAAACAAGAGACAAATAGATGGAAAACCAATGGTACTGGTTTTAGATTCTGAGTAGCCTAGCCATTTTCTTGTTTGTTTTGGTTATGTAATATTACCAGGTTGGATCTGAAAAGGTTTGGCAATTGTGTTCCCAGTGATGAGCTGAGGATCCTTCCTCCCCCACTGAACTTCTCAGCAGGAGGAACTATGTAGTGAAGGAGTCTGTTTTCCACATTTCTGCCTTAAGAATTTTATAAGCATATTTCTAACCTCTGCTTTCTAACTGTGTATTCAGCAGGTGGGAGCTACAGACCCACATACTCTCCCAGGTCCCAGGAGAGAAACTTGCACTTGAACCAGATACGCCACTGTAGGCATTAGCTTCCTTTCAGTCTGTTTAAATGGGAGCTGTTTACTGTAACCTAAGAGATGTCAGTGTCAGAAGTGTGGATGGACCGGATGTTTTAATTCTCAAACCACATCTCTACATCCAGAGTTGACGAAATCCTGTATGAAAAAAAAGACAAGCAAACAATTGTCCCAAAACACACATACACACAAACCCCAGACTCTTTTTTTGAAGAGATATTCTACAGTTCTATCATATTTTCCTCTTCTGGTAGCCATCAGACACACAATTAAGTACCATACAGCCTTTGCAAAGAAGGAAATTCTGTCATTCAAGACAATGTAATACTAGTGTACATTATGTTATATTAAATGATCTAGGCACAGAATAATAAATACCATATGATTTCACTTATATGTGGAACTAAAAAAATCAATCTCATATAAGCAGAGAGTAGAAAGGTGATCTCCAGAGGCTTGGTTGCAAAGGGGAGAAATAAGGAAAGAGAAAATGTTGATCAAAAAGTACAAAGTCTTAGAATGGAGGAATAAATGTTAGTGATCTGTTGCATTGTATAATGACTACAGTTAACAGTAACATATCATGTATTTTAAAATTGCTTAAAGAATAGATTTTTAACATTCTCCCGACAAAAAAAAAAAAAAAAAAGATAAGCTGGTGAGGCAATGGATATGTTAATTGCTTGATTAGATTTGTTACAATGTGTACTCAAATCAAAACACTGCAGTATACCCCATAAATGTACACAATTATTTATTAATTTAACATAAAATAAAATAAAATACAAAAAACTGAGTTGTGCTTCTTTGAATGCCTTCAGAGGGTGGAAGATCTAGACCCAGATGTTCTGCCTTGTCAAGAGTGAAACCTCGTCTATCACACTACACTTGAACCAGGTAGGCCCCTGGGAGACATTACTTGCCTTTCAGCCCATTTAATAAAGGTGGTGTATTCTTACCTCAAACACATCAGTGTCAAGAGTGTGAATGGATACTTTCCATAGCCTTATTATAGAATAATATAAAATAGAGACTGATTTTGGATTGCTGTCACAGTCCAAGCCTAGATTTACTGAAAGATGAATATAATGTAAATCATATTGAAGAATCATGTCTTTATGAATCATTTGAATTTTTGATTTTTTTTTTCTTTGAGACAGAGCCTGGCTCTGTCACCAAGGCTGGATTGTAGTAGTGCGATCTTGGCTCACTGCAACCTCCGCCTCCTGGGTTCAAGCAATTTTCCTGCCTCCACCTCCCGAGTAGCTGGGATTACAGGCATGTGCCACCATGACCAGCTAATTTTTGTATTCTTATTAGAGGCAGAGTTTCGCTATGTTGACCAGGCTGATCTTGAATTCCTGATCTCAAGTAATCTGTTCTCCTCAGCCTCCCAAAGTGCTGTGATTACAGGTGTGAGCCACCATGCCCAGCCTTTTATGATTCTTAATACATCATATATTCTTTCACAAATGCAAGCTATCTTTCCAAGTGTCACGGAATGTCGCTGGCAAATACCTACTATCTTTTATTTAACTTGTAAAAAATAATGCATTTAGGGGCTACAAGTCCACATGTCTTCTATGGACTGTGGTGAAGTCTGGACTTTTAGTGTCCCCATCACCTGAGGCAATTTTCATCCCTTGCTCCTTCCCACATTCCCACCTTTTGTAGGCTCCAGTGTCTCTTTTTCCACTCTATGTCTGTATGTACCCATTGCTTAGTTCCCACTCATAAGAACATGAAGAAATACATGTTTGCTCCTTTCAGCTTATCATTCTTACCTACCTGTGCAAAGACAGTGCTGCCCAGAATCAGTTTCTTGTCATCGTTTATATGTGTACAAAAGTCAACTTATGATTCTGTCTATTAATATTTATGTTTCAGTTCCTTGAAATTGCTCCTAGAACTTCAAGGAAGAAGTGGCTTCCTTGCCACTATCTTCAACCCTGTCCTAAGTTCCAGAACTATAAGAATTTGTATCTGATCAGTGAAAAAACTGTAAAGAGCTATTTGACAATCACAGAGGAGCAAAATATACAACTTGTTTCTTAGGGATTCTCAAAAAGGAAGGAACACATTATAGATGATAAGAGTCACTTGGAACTCTCTACAAAAAAAAAGTAGACAAAATCCCTTTTAGATCATTGATAGCTAGGTGATAAATTTCTAAACTGTTTCCAATTTTTCTAAGATGTGTGCATAAACAAATAGTCACAGTTCTACTTTTCAAATATGTTCCAAAGTCAGTCATACTCAATAAAAACATTAGAAACAAAATCAATTTAGCATTAGAAATTGGCAGAGAAAATATGTCAAACATCTCATTGAGAAAACACAGTCATAATATTAGTTGGACATTTAATATCTATATTATTTAAGAGATTTTAAGAGATTTTGGAACCCTAAAACAGATTCCAAAAATGTCATAGGAACATCTGGAGTTTGTGTTCAAAATGTTTCTGACCATAATACATTCCATTCCCAATTTCATGTCCAAAATTATCTCGCAAGTAATTCTCAGCCAGGCTTGGCAGAAGACCAAGATAGTAGATTTTCAAGTGACAAAATAAAATGCAGTTATGCAGATAATTAAAAAGTTGTAACTTTATCTGGAAGTTGTCATTTATCTGGAAGTCCCATTGTTACTTGTATGCTTATACATGAAATAGTTGAATATGTGCATGCCATGTGCAAAAGTCATAATTTACTGCTGTAATAAAAAAAGTAAAATAACAGTGGCTTAAATGCAACAGAAGTGTATTTCTCTCAAACCTATCATTCCAGGTATAAGTGGTCCAGGGCTACAAGATACAAAGAAATTAGGACATTTTCAAACTTGTTGATTTTTCTGTCTCTAGTGTACAACCCTTGCTTGCATGATTGAGGATGGATTGACAACACTTTTATATTCCAGGCAGTGGAAAAATAGATTATAGGAAACCAGAAGCATTAATTAATACCTTCTTGAGTTCATAACTCATTGGCCAGAACTTAACCCCATAAACACAACTGGTTGCAAATAAAGGTGAGGAATATCATGTTTATTTTGGTTCCCATTTCAAGAGCTAAAAATTGAGGTTTCTAACAAGGTAGACAAAGGGGACAATAAGTTTGCATGGATGGTTAACACTTCTGTCATGCCATATCTGTGTCTGCAGTTGACCTTCTATTTGGACTGGATGTCCCTGCTAAATTAGGAAAAAAATGTGACTTTCAAAGTTTTTAAAACTTAACAAAAGCATAATCAAATTTACCAATAGGCCATTCCCCCAACCTAAATTAGAATTATCAGGCAAGGAATTTATA